ATTCATGTTTCATGAGAACACTTGATCTGACCGATGATACTGACAGACTTTTCTTCCACATATACCAACTTGATTCAAAGAAAAGTTTAATCTAAATCTGATCGGAAAACAGAACGTAGAATTTTCCTGTTGCCTTTGTGTTTTGCAAGACATTGGTTTCCTGTAAGTGGGAGGACCTCACTGTTTATTTGAAACAAGTACATGGCCCCATTTGTTTCTTATTAACACACTTTAATAGATTTTACCAATAGTAGGTTCTCTCCAAATATTGCATCTTTTTGTACAGATATCAGAGTCAAACAAGCCTTTACAATGGATAAAAGCAAGGTTTTATTTTTTACTTTCCAATGACTTGTTTGACGTCATTGTAGCTAAAAACCACAGAGGCTATCTGCTCAGTTTCTTTCTTCTCCCCACTCTCCATTAGACAAGCAAACCAACCATCACCAATGTAAGCCAGGTCTGAGTAACCGCTGGGTCCACTGGTGATGATCCAGGGTTCGCTCCAAGCATTTGGATCACATGGGGACTTGTTCAGATACACTCCTAGACTAACCCTGCGGGACTGGTGGCTTGGGTGGGTGTAGAGCAGCCATTTGTTTGAGTTCTGGCCTGGATCACAATTTGCTTCTTCATTTTGAGCTGGAAAAGAGACCAAGCTTCCCTGACAGCCGAAGCCCGTCTCCACGAGCTTTTGAGCACCACTCAGTTTGCAAAAGTCCTGGCCATGATTCTCACTGACATGCTCCTCTCTAAATCCTCCCTCAGTGCGAGCATTGCAGTAGATTATGCTTTTGTTTTCATTGTCAAAAAACTCTGCCATTTCACATTCAATGGATTTTGCTTGCAACATTTGGCCAAACTGCCACTTTTTACCAGAATCATCACTGTACAGGGAGAGTGCGTATGGAGCGATGATCTGAGACAAGCGACAGCAGGAGTTCATGCCAGAAGCAGAAGCATAAGCATAAAGTGGAACAATCAGTCTTCCTTGCTCTGTTTGAAGACCGTGGCCCGGCCCAACAGCAAAAGTGGCCCAGTTTTTAATTTCAGCCAGACTGTCAGTCAGATCGGTCAATTTACTCCAGGTTTGTCCGAGATCAGCGCTTGTGATGTAGCAGAGACGGGCCTTGTTGTCGAAGTGTTTTATCTGCCACTGCTCTGAGACGGTGCCTTCAACACAGATGAAAAACAGGAAGAGGGTTCTACTGGTCTTGTCATACAGCGGGCAGGGATTCATAGGGCGGTGTCCTTCAATACGTGCCTCTTCTATTAGTTGAAACTCTGACCACTAAAGAAAGAATTTATTGAAAGGTGTGTAATTAAGCAGTTAGATGTATTTGAAAGAAACACTGTAAATTCACAAACTATAAAGTTACATTTTTAACTGAGTGGGATTATTACCTCAACTGTCTTCACATTAGAGGTTTCCTCCTTCAGTGTTCCTCTCTTCATAACCAGCATTTTGGAGCTGCTGTCATCTTCAGTCGTCCTCTGCTCTGCAAAAGCCAGAAGAGTTTCACTTTCTCTGTCGCAGAAAAGAGCAGGAATCCTGTAAACGCAGCCATTAGATTTAAAGACAGTCTGTTGCTGTGGCTGAACATTCCTTAAAGTCACGTCGCCCATGTTTGCTCTCCTTGTTTAAGAGGATCTTGTGATCGATCAAAAGGAAAGAGCTGCAGTGTCACAGTTTGCTTCCTGACAGGTGACTTAAGGCTGGGCGGTGCAGTGTGTGACTGGGGGAGGAGTCTTTTCTTTCACTGCCACAAAAATTCCATTAATTTCAGAGGGACAGGGAAGTACGCACTTTTTTTTTTTTTTTTTTTTTTTGAGGAATGTCAGCAAAACAACTGTAGGCTAGCCTAACAGTAATAACAAAAAATAAAATTTAAAAAAATATATAAAACTACAACCATGCTCAAATATAGAGATCTTAACAAACACAAAGCTTTCAAATGTGGACAGCACCATTGTGTTCCCTGCCTTCTAGCGCCCCTGTGACTCTGAAAAAGGATAAAGTGGTGTATAGATAATGGATGCTGATGAGTTGTACGACTTTGCAACACATTGCTTTCGGGGGAAAAAGTACGATGGAGAGAGAGATAAATCTTCAGCCTCTCTGTCCATTCTGACATCATCCAACTTTACAGCATTCTCAGAATATTCAAGCTTCTGATCACAGGGTGTTTCTCTGGTTCTACAGTTTTGCATGTTAAAACGCTGTAGCGCCTTGATAGTGTACCTTTCTTGTGACATTTTTACACATCCATTTGTTTAACAGAAATCGATACCCAGAAAGTTTTTAAGTCTACCTAGATCTTTCATCCTAAACTTTCCTGCGAGCGTCTCTTTCACTTCTCTCAAAATCTTCTCATTGCTGGCCACAATGATCAAGTCATCGACCCATATGATTATGATCACCTTTTCATCCTTAGACTCTTTTGCATAAACACAATGGTCGGCTGGGTATTGTGTGAACCCGTCCAGTTAAACAATCGTATAAGACTCTGTTCTAATTACGCCCTGATTGTTTAAGACCATAAAGTGACTTGTCAAGTTTATAGACTAGACCATCATCTTTCTCTTCATAACCCTCTGGTGGATTGATATAGATCTCGTAGTCTATGGGTGTGTGCAAATAAGCCGTTTTCACGTCAATCTGTTGACGGAGAAAATTCTCCTGTGCTGCTTTTTGTAACAGCACCCTAACACTTGTCATGTTTGCTGTGGGTGAAAACATTTCGCCATAATCTATTCCCATTACCTCGTTGTATCCCTTAGCCACAAATCGGGCTTTGTATTTGTCTTTTCCGCTTTCATCACTTTTGATGGAGTAAACCCATTTACCCCCCACTGTTTTCTTGCCTACTGGCAGGGTTGTCACAGTAAATGTGTTATTGTCGTTTAACAACTGGTCCTCCTCATCCATTGCTTTTCTCCACTCCTTGGAGTTTGCTGACCTCATAGCTTCCTCATAAGTTTGTGGAATACCACATAAAGCCCTGTAGCAATAATCAATAGTAGCGTGAACCCCATCACTATCACTGTCTTTACTCACATAGTCATTTAAGTGGCTCGGTTTCCTCCTTTCTCTGGTCGGATACCTTCTGTTCTCAGATTCAACACCTCTCTCACTCTGTTGTGCTGGACTACTACTAGGTGCATCCCTACTCAGTACATTTGGTTCTTGAGCATCCTCTGTGCCCCCATTATCCTCCTGTGTGGTGTCCTCAATCCTAGGTTGTCTAACACTGTCATAGTTGTCATCTGGATTTGTTTCACCTGTCTGTGTTTGTTTCTCTGCAGCTGCTCTGCTCACAAACTTAACCAGCCTATGTTTAAGGACCCTGTTTGTGTCTGGATGATAAATTAAGAGCCGGGCTGTTCTTATCATACCCCACAAAACGTCCCTGGTCACACCTGGAATCTAATTTGCCCTCGTCTTGTTTGTAAGTGCAACATACAGACCTGAATTTTTGCATTTTTGACACATTAGCCTTCTTGCCTGTCAGCAGCTGGTAGGGAGTCTGCCCTGTACGCCTGTTAAAACATCTGTTACGTACCATTGCTGCTGTTTGCACTGCATAGTGCCATAGTGATTTTGGAAGCTTGCTCTCAACTAGCATGCACCGACCCATCTCGAATAGAGTACGCCAACCCCGCTCTGCTGTCCCGTTCTGGTGAGAGGAATACGGAGCTGACATCTCATGTCTGATTTTATTTTTCCTCATCAGTGTTTGGAAGTCATTACACGCATACTCTGTCCCGTTATCGGACCTGAGACATTTAACTTTTCCCCAAGGGGATACATCTGCTAGGAACTTTTCCGTAGCTAGGACTGTGTCGCTTTTCCTTTTCAGAAAATATACAAACACTGTGCTCGAGTAATCGTCAGTCAATGACTGCACATATTTATAACGTTCTATTGACTCTGTGGGTACAGGACCTGCAAGATCTGTGTGCACCAACTGTAATGGAGCCTCTGCTCTGGTATTAGGATCTCTATTTCTTGTTTGGGCAAACTTTCCCTGAATACACACTTCACATTCCTGGTCAGGTCTACATGCTTTACCCTTAATTTGCATCCCATCAACCACATTTTGTAGCTTTAGAACATCATCATAATTGCAGTGGCCTAATATCTCGTGCCATATCTGAATGTCGTGGCATGCATTACACTTGTCAATAGATTCACCTTCAGTATGTAAATAATACAACTTGCCATAGACATGTATATCAAATCTGGTACCGTTCTTGGTTATCAGTGCATCCTTGTCTTCCTTGAAAATGACCGTGGACCCGCTTGCAGTGGCCACCTTCACCGAAAAGATGTCCTGCGGGTACAACGGGATGAGCAAAGCGTCTCTCAGTGTCGCTTTGTGTCGCTGTCCTTTATTGTCAATAAGGCAAACCTCCGCAGTCCCTCTTTTCTGTGCAACTCCGCTGCACCGAGTGCTGTTGGCCAACTCAACGCTGTGCTTTTCCGGTCTGAACGTGTTGTCAAAGTTTTTAAACTTGGTCACATCGGTAATGATATGAGAAGTGGCCCCTGTATCCACCATCAGTCCTCTCTCCTGAATGCCGCCTGCTGGCTGTCTCTGGGTGCCGGTCTCTCCATTCCTCATCTTGAACGCAAAGTCCTCGTCACCATCTTCTTATATAGCTTTACACGCTCCGTCCCGTGTCTCTTTACTGTCTTTGTCCCTGCGCCTGCATGTGGTGTCTTTGTGTGTGTGACTTCGGCAACGACTACACCATGTTTTCTTTCGACACTCTTTAGCTCGATGGCCCTTGGTGCCGCATTTGAAGCACACCATCTCCGTATCGTCTTTCTGCCTGTCACAGTTATTTGTTTTGGTGGGCCGCCGCCCGGTCCTTCCTTGAGTCTTCATCACACTGTCACTTGACTCAGCACTTATCTTCTCTGTTTCCTCAAAACGACGTAACTTAGTCTTGAAATCTGAAAACATTATATTTTCATCTGTATGTGCTACATGTATAGCGAATGGCTTGAAGCTTTCAGGCAGCCCTTTCAATATCATAGCCACAAGTAAGCCATCTCCCAACGTCTCACCTGCATTCCGCAGTGCTGTTATGGCGGTTTCACCTCTGACTATGTAGTCCATAACACTCTCGTTGTTCCCCTTCTGAAGTGACGTCAGCGTGGTGTATAGGTTAATTATCCTGGGCTTCCCCTTCCCAGCATAATAGGCTCTCAACATTTTCAGAGCCTTTCTTCCGTCATTGGGTGCATCCCTCATAATGAGTGAGAGACTCTTATCATCTAAAAGTAGGATCATCTCGGCGTATGCGTCAGCATTTTTCTTCCCGTCAGCCGCTCTTTGGTCATCACCAACCGGTGCATTCAGGACCGTATCCTTTATTCCCAATACGTGGAAATGTCCCAACATCTTGGTCTCCCATAGTTCATATTTTCTCTCATCTCCGTCGAATGCCAGTCGAGGCAATCTGCTCGACGCTCGTTGATCCATGCTGCTAACCTGCGTCTCTTGCTATGCTAGCCCCGTTAGCACACTGCTCTCGTTGTGTCTTACTACACGGTGGAGGCTGGCAAACTTTTCTCCCGAACGACTCCTGGGCCCATAACCTGATGAGTTGTACTGTTGAGGAAATTTTCTATGATCTACATAAAGTCCAGTAGTCTGAGTTGTCTTTGTCTTGTTTTATTCAAAGCTTTGAAGGTACAGGTCATACAGAATGCAAGCAGTCTGCAGGAGAGTACACATGAGTGCAGGCAGCATAGTATTCTTATACATGTACAGGCGTGGTCTTTACTCCAACGGTAGTATAACAATCCCATGCTGGAAAACAACAGCTGGGTGTACAGGGTGTACTCATCCACAGACGTCAGAAGACTAAACACACTGGATCAGGCATCAAAAGTCTAAACACATGGGATGCACAACTTCTTCTTCCCATGTACAGCCACTAGTGTTTACCTAGATGTTATGAGAACACATTTTGGGCCTGTAACCTTTCCACTCAGCTTTAATGAACCGCGGCTTGGACTGTAAGAGCAACATTACCCGCGTACAGGAAGAACAACGACAGGTATATAGAGAGATGGAGGTAAACACTTCTAATTTCACACAACAGCGCCTCACAGTGGCATAAGCCATTTTCCAGTAAACAGAACAAATACTACAGAACTGTGGACATATTAGTCATTCTATCATTTACATTCAACAGATGCATATATATATTCAACTCAGCTCAAAAATTGCTGGAAGCAACTGGAGGCAGGGACGCCTCAAGAAAGGGGTGGCAAGAAGGAAATTCAGAAAATCTCGTGGTGGCACACAAAAACCAAAAGACCAAGCTGAATTTGTGGTGATTGTGCTGTGTTTAATGTTTTTGTTTGTATATGGCTGGCGGTGGTTTTGTGTGACGGCTGGAGTTGTGCTGTGTTTTTTCGGCCTGGGCGAAGCTGCTTGGAGGAGGATGCTCTGCGCTGGCACAGCTGCAGCTCATCATCAGTACGCGCTGGATAAAGCCACCATTCCACCTGTGCGCGAGTGTCAGATGATTGCCAACTATACCAGTGGTACTTTCGGCCGCCTAGCAAATACATGAGCGTATTGCATGGTATTCTCGAGTTTATTATTAACGGTATACTCTTTTGTTTTTACCAGCGTGTTTTTCACCGGCTCCAGCCCACTTTCTCCAGCTCGCTACGCCAGCCCTTTTGTGCGCCACG